TCCCTAAACCCTAACCCTAACCTTCCCTCTAATTTCCTCCCTCGTTGTCTTACACTCCTCATCCCTCCCTCACCTCCGTCCATCAGAGCCCAAACGTTTCGCTCGCTCTCCCCCACTCACTCCTCTGCATCCATGCCGGGCGGTGAAGCTCACGCTTCTCCCCTGCTGGAGAAGCAGTTCGAGGACTTCCGAGCGCAGCTCGAAGAGTCTGGAACCTTGCGCGAGCGCATTCGAACTGTGGTTATGGAGATCGAGTCCACCACAAGGCTCATTCACTCGAGCCTTCTCTTAGTCCACCAATCTCGTTCAACTCCTGGTAATTTCAGTTCATGTGAAATGTAGAAAAGGATTTTCCTTGATAAATATATGTAATTTATAAATTACATTTTGTTTGTTTTTTATTTTCTGGTTTTAATTTGAATCAGAGGTTTTGGAGAAGCCCTTGACTCAGATTGGTGTGCTGAAGGAGCTCTACAATCGACTCGCTAAGATTGTGCTCGAGTCTCCTGGGCAATACTATAGGTTAGTGAAGTGAAACAGGGGCATTGTTGGAATTTTAATTTGTGGTTTGGTTTTGGGACTGGCTTGATTGATGTGGTTTGTGTTTAGATATCATGGTGATTGGAAGACGGAGACACAGACTGTGGTTTCTCTGCTCGCTTTTATGCATTGGTTAGAGACAGGGGCTCTTTTGCTGCACACTGAAGCTAAGGAAAAACTTGGGTGTACGTTTCTACTCTCTGTTATTGTTTGTTTATGGTGAAATGTTTGTATTTTTGTCTAATATGAGCTTCTTCTTTTTTTTTTTTTGGAATTTTGATTTTGCCAAGACACTATATATTTAGGTGTCAATTTTGTGAAATGAAATGCGTAATATGGTTGACAATCAGATTTCAACCAATGGGTCGGGGTACTTTTTCATCATTAGAAGAGCAGCCATGATCATGCTTTTTAACCATTGATTTAACAATCAGGCTTCAGATTGATCTTAATCTGAGTCCAATGCAATGTAGAAACAAAGATTCAAATAGCAATGGTAACCAAAACACCAAAATCTTCTATGATCTGATTTTAGTTGAAAAACCTTGAGGCAGGGTCATGTGATGTAATGATGTCAATTACAACCCACGAGATCCATGACTGTTTATAATGTGTTATGTTTTTGGTTTAAATAATTTAGTCTTAATTGCAGTGTAATGTCTTTAGTTTCTAATATGAGTTATTTCCAATTTTGCAGTGAACGATTCAGAGTTTGGTCTGGATGTTGAAGACTATCTTGTTGGTGAGTGTTGTAAGATTTCTTTATACATGATTGCATAAGAGTGATGTTGCTGTGAAACAAGTCAAAAAAGTTATCTGTTGATACAATGTTGTTTTGTGATAATCTGGAAAGGCACAAGATTTTGATTCTTAGATATATATTTCATGGTTTCATTACCTTCTATCCAAGGTGAAAATAATATAATTTTAAATCTCCTTAACAGCACCTCATTCAAATTGTGTGGGAGTCAATTGTAGGGTGTGTATATCTAAACCATTTGAGGAGTCCAGTAGGCTTACTTGCATAGATTATTATCGCTGCTGGTTTCTCTTGGTTAAGTTAGACGCTGATGTGATTTTTTTTTTTCCTGCTGTTGCAGGTATTTGTTTCATGTCCAAGGAATTGGTAAGTAGTATTCTGCAATTGTGATAGCTTGCTTTTTTGTACTTGTTCAAACTGCCTCAAAATGTTTCGATTGTTGTCTAGAATTTAATACCAGCAAAAATTTAAATTGATAAGAAAATATGAAAAGTTTATACTTGAATAGGTATATAGTTGGATACAGAGACCTAGGGTGTATATCTAGAAGGATGTCTTTTTTGTGGTCGGATAAGGATGTCATTGTGCGTCAACTGAGAAAATTCATGAGGTGAAAGCACATTGATTGACATGCCATTCCGCATGTCATGAAAATAATTGATAGCTTTGTATTGAAGTAGGCTCATTATACAATACATTGCTGCAGCCGAGGTATGTGGTTAACCAAGTGACAGCTGGGGACTATGACTGCCCAAGGAAGGTGCTGAAATTTTTGACAGATCTTCATGCAGGCTTCCGCATGCTTAATCTTCGGAATGACTTTTTGCGCAAGACATTTGATGGTATGCTACTCATTGTGACTATACTTCTTGATGTTTCTCTTTTCCTTTCAAGTTTCAATCCTTGCAAGCCTCATAATTTTTCATATTACTTTTGCATTCCATTTGCATGAAATACTGTGTCACCTGTGGCAGGTATGAAGTATGACCTAAGAAGAGTCGAAGAAGTTTACTACGATGTTAAGATCCGAGGCTTGACAGCCAATGGCGATCCTGTGGCAGACCAAGCAGCACAATCATAGATTTCAAAAGTTGTAAACTTCCTCTTTGTCATCTTGATTACTTGAAATTCCAGAGAGGGTAAATCTAGAATCGTGCTACTAGTCACAGGAGAATGGAAGCAAGGAAAACTGTAACCAATGCCTTGCTTCTGATGTCATTTTTGGATTTCTGTGTAAATCTAAAAACAATGAAACATGGTTGAGGAAGAATGAAAGTTAAGAGTTTTGTGAATCCATCAGTTTGTTTGTATAAAAAAGGGGATATATAGATGCAAGCAGAAATGATTCTGCTGCTCTGCATCGACTTCATGAAATACCATTTCCAGGCTCGCTCTTACCATCATGTGACCAATAACAAATAACTTTCAAGTTTTTTTAATTTTACAGTTGCTAGATATTATTGTCTTCTTTAGGGACCGAAATGGACAGAGATTTGATTTTCAACTGTTGTGGTAAGTGGCATTAAAACTGGAGAGCAATCTGCCCTTGTAGGAATAGGACAGGATCGATCAACTAAGGCCCCTGCCTGCAACTTGACCACATGTAGACATAACTAAATTTGCTCTCCTGTCACATCTAAAGTTTTTTTTTAAAATCATTTTCCAAAGCCTATCGTTAGGGGTATTGTGACTATTGCTATCCATCCAATCTAGCGAACCTCACTTTCCCTTTCCGCGAATCAATTATCATGCTTTATGGGTAAAAGGTAATGGTGGGAAGTATAATCTGTCCTTTTTGAGAAGGGAAGGCGAAATGGTCTATGATTACCTTATGAACTGTAAAACCTCTTTTTTACATCACAACTTAATGTCAGATTTTTAGGTTCAAAAAATAAAAAAAATGTCAAATTAGATACACTTTGCTAAGTGTAATTATAGACAATGAGTCATTGATACGAGACCAATCTAAATCAACCGACCTAACTCACATAAGGCGTGCCCTTTTCACAAACCAACCTAACTCACGCAGCATACCCTTTTCAAAGACAAATTATGGCGTTCACAGGTGGGGTTCAAATTCATAACGCCGTCAAAAGAGTCATAACGTGGATGACCACAAACGCAACAACCCCATTTTAATGTCGTCCACGTGTCGTTGTAGGTCACGGCGGACTTGAAACGCACCTTGAAGCGTTTTTATTTCTTTGTGAGCAGCAGAGCGAGAAATTAAACGAAAATGACGAAACACCCCCATTTTTCACATTCATCCATTTACTCATATTTCCCTCTATCTCCTCCATTTCGTGTCGCTTTTTGGCGGTTTTGAGGCTCTTCGGTTTCGAACATTCGCACAAATTTCTCTGGCGTCTCTCTCTCTCTCTCTCTCTCTCTCTCTCTCTCACTCACTCAGGTCAGATCTCTGCTCTCTAGATTCTGCTAGATCTCCATTTATCTTGATTTTTCAATTTTTATCTTCTCTGAGATCGCAGATCGGCAAGCTTTCAGCTCATTAGGGCTTCCGTACTCATTAATGAGGTACTGTTTCTACTTTAAACTCGTTTTCTGATCTACTTTTTTACTTACTGTTTGGCTGCTGAGAAAACGAAGCAAGAGTTGCGGATAAACTTTGCTTTCACTAGATTTTTTTTCTTCATCTTTTTATGTTTTATTTTTTTGAGCTTAGCTGAAGTATACAGCTACATACTGTTTACTGCTCAACCTGAGATTTCGTTTTTTTTTTCCTTTTTTTTTTGGTTTTTTTTTTTTTGGTATTTAGGGTGCTTTGCATTGGATTGCATTTTATAATTATTTATATTTTTTTTTTCTTCCTTCACGTTCTGAATAACTGATCAAAACATATGAAATCTCTTTTCTTTGGACAAGAAAACGTTTAATTACAAGGCCTGTCTCTTATCTGCATTTCTATTTATAGACTGGTATTAATCTGCATCATGCAGATCCTAATTTGGATGGCTACTCGCTTATCCTTGTGTGTTTTTCTTTTAAATTCTAAAACATATGTAAGCAAGTTCATCAAGGGCATGCGCCGTTCCCTACTATATCCAATCACTAACATGGCTGCTGGTGATAATGCATCAATCAATATTGAACCATGCAATTGGCCCCTTTGCCGTGATTCTATAATCTTGAACTAAAGTTCATTAATTCCTCTGTATTGATCGTGCAATTGCAAATTCGAGTGACTGCAAACCATTTGATATTCTTTTCCGTATGAAATGCAATCCAGGTGGCTACAATAACTAGCATGGTTTCATAAGTTAGTACAAATTTGTAGACATGAACAGGCTATGTGGACAATAATCAAAATGTGAAGGAGACTGAACGTATTAATTGAAAAGCGATCTCTGGTAGCTTGGAATAGCTACTTATATCCTTTCTGTTGTCATATTGATGTACTCTGTTGATTAATGAAATCTGTATAGTTTGTCCATCTGGGTTCTTTTTGGTACAACTGAACTGATGAATGCGTGAAATTATAGGATCTATGTTGGATGCATAATATGAAATGGATCATGAAGCACGCTCGCGTAACAAGTTCGTCAACATGAAATCCCAGAGGGTGAGGATTTATGAGTTTTTTTAGGAATTGCCTTTATCGTCATGCTTATGTGCACTGTACATGGCTCTAGTTCTTCATATAGACTTTGCCATCTTTTCTGAATTTCTTGAAATACTAGGCCTCTTAGTTGCTATTCTTGTCACTACTATTTAACATTAATTATTGATTAACAGTTGATGCTTGGTCTCAGTAATTAAATTTAGTCCTCCTTTAGTTCCTTGCTTGGGATAGCCACTGGTATAAAAAAAAATTTCTTCTATTTTTCAATTTTTCATAGGTGAAAGTAGAAGGTTCTTTTGCTCCTGCATTAGAAGATGAAACTGAAACCATTGAGCATTTACTAGCAGAACCTAAAAGTGAATATGTTACGGTAGATGGTGTCTTATGCTGTGGCAAGGAGAATGCAGGAAAGTGCGTGGACATTGAAGATTTTTCCTGTGGATATGACTTTGGGCTTAATACATACAGTGGTAATACTACTAAATGCTACCATTCTTGTTTCTAGCCCCCTTATTAGTTAAAGTATTATATCAAGTCCTTTTGTTGTAGGATTTTTTATTCCTCTAATTTGAAGTATAGGAAATTTCCCAAGTGCCTGGGGAGCACCTTATGTACATTGTCATGAACAGTTTTGACATGTATTATTGGATTTCTTGACCTTTGATCCCTAGACTGAAATTCTTCCACCCCTGAGGAAGATCCTCTTGCTGAAAAAAGCAAAATATAATAGAAGAAAAAGATTATATTAGGGGTTTTTAACATCTGACACTTGCATGTAATGAAATCTTGTTTCTTTGATGATAGAATACATTCCAAATGATTTTTATTCAAAATTTATTTATTGGTAACTGAATTCGAGTGACTCTACAAAGGTTTTTGGTTTCATTCTGTCAAATAAAATTTTGGAATCACTTCTGTTATCATTCTAATCCCGTATATTTTTTTCCCTTCATAAGGTGGATTGCATTCTGCTCATCCTCGGGGAAGATACGATGAATTAGAATTTGGAGTATGTATTTAACTTTATGGATAGATTTATATTATGTCAGAGTTATTCTGTACATTCTTCTTCTCTTTGTGAAAATTAGCTTCCCTTTAAGTTTTAGGTCGCATCGTTTCTCTATATTACTTGATATGACAGTTTTAGGGAATGCTGTATATATTTACTGCTAAGTTATTTGTGGTGATTGCACTTTTGATGAGATAGTGATTTAGTAGGTTCTTGACGGATTGTTGGACGAAGTTGATGAAGTGGAGGATATTCATGCGATAAATGGTCTTGCAAGCCCTTGTGATGATTATCTTTTAGGTGAAAGTTTGTCTATATTGTCTGGTTAATAGTGACATTTACCGTGTGCTTTCTCTTTCCTTTTGTTTTCTGATGCTTTTTTTTTTCTCTTTCCAATTGCAGATATTGGATTTACAGGAAAAGCTTCTGAACTGGGTTTTGGTCCTTGTGAAAAATCACATTTGGGGAACTCAAGTTCTGAAAGTCAGTCTCCACGATTAAGTGGCAGTAGTAACGGTGCTGTTGGGATATCTGAATCGTCAACTGTGACTATTCAAGAATTTGAATGCAAGAATAATTCTATTGACAAGGCAGTAACTCATGAGTTTCATGGTGGCTTCAGGCGGAAAAAAAGACGTCGAACACCTGTTGAAGGCAATGTCTATCCTGCTTCAATCAATTTACAAAATCTTGAGTTAGATAATGATGAAAAGACTTTAGTAAAGGAAATAGTGTCTGGTGAAAATGAGAAGCTCTCTGTTGAAGCAACCAAACTTGGTGCTTTTTGTAAGGAAAAAAGACTGCGTAAGCCTACTTTGAGATATATTGAGGAATTTTCTGGTAAGAAGTCAAAAGATTCCAACGAGAGGGAAAATTGTTCTGCTCTTACTGCTACGCAGGATCGCTCAAAGGTCAGATGTCAGAATGAACATCATCATATGAGTCCTGGGATATTGTCATCAGTTCCTGAGGAGGATTCAATTTCTGAAAACCAGACACTGGCTGAATTTAGGACTCAAAGAAAACTTGCAAAGAAGCATGCATCAATTTTGGTAGGAAAAGTTTCAACCCTGCACGTATTTATTCCTTCAACATTTAAATTATTTAGAAGAAAACTCCCTTTTTCTTTTCCCGTCTCTCCAGTTGTATGGTTGTTTCTCTTTCCATGTTTGCTTTAATTTACCTGATCAGTAGTACTAGTCTGATAAACAGTGAAATTTAAGTATGACAGGTGGTTCATGAGGCACCGTTGTCTCTGGATCACCCTCTGAAAAAATGTGAGATTATTCATAGCCATCTGCAGATTGCTGTGTATTTTTCATGTAGACTTGGAGAATGTAAGGACTAGACTGTGAGTCTATTGTTCCTTGGTGCTTGTTAAATAGTGTTGCGTTAGCTGTGAGTTACCTATTATATTCTGCATCTTTTGTAGAGAATGTGTTGCTGCATTTCTGTAGTTTTAAAATCTGTTGATTTCAGGATACATGTTGCAAAACTTTTTTTATGGATCTACCCTCTGGGTGATGGCGTTCTTTGCTTTGCATTGAAGGGCACAGCTGTTGTGATGTTCATTGACTGGAAAGTAAAAAAAACATAGAAATCAGTGTGTATTATTTTTTTCTTTCTTTAGACAATTAGGATTATCAGTAGTACTGTGTTTTTCCTCTTTCAGTCGTGTAATGCCATGGTTTCAGAAGTTTAATTGTCTGTATTATTCTGCACAGGCGCTTGAGTCCGATGAGCAACCTATTACATCTGAGTCCGAAGATGACCATGTACCAAAAAAAAGATCTAGAAAGCACGATCGAAGGAAGCATCAAAGGATGTGGACTCTCTCTGAGGTGACGACATTGGTTGATGGTATTTCTGAATATGGAGTTGGACGATGGACAGATATTAAGAGGGTCCTATTTTCGTCTTCTGCTTATCGCACGCCAATAGATCTCAGGGTACATTGCCGTTCTCTAACAAAGGGAATAGTATGCTCTCCATTTGCACAGAAAATGGAGAGGGCCAGTTCTTCAATCCGAACCACTCAAAGGGGCAGGGCCCCCTGAATTGGGGACAGGCCCATGAAGGCCTGACAAGCAATCTATGGTCCAGATTTTTACTGGCTTTCTCCATTTTGTGCTGTACCGGAGAGAAACTGGATTTCAATTAAACAGGTGTCTTTGTGTTTTAATTTCTAATTCTCTTTGCTACTTGTGCACGCTGCAGGACAAATGGAGAAATCTTTTAAGAGCTAGCTGTGGAAAGAAAATGAAGAAAGAGGCTAGATTTCTATCTGTTTATATTTTTATATTTTGGGTACGTGAAACTGTCATGCAAACTAAATTTGTCTAGATGGTTTGGCTGACACAGGTTGAGCAAAAGGAGATGCGAGCCTTACCAAAGTCTTTGGTACGCCGTGTCCGTGAGCTGGCGACAGTACACCCATATCCTAGGCAGCGTGGCAAGAAGTTTGCCCCTCCCATACTTCCTACTCCCAGTAAAAGTGCTTCATCTGATCTAATCAGAAAGTATGTCCGAAGGAAGAATCGATCTTGAAGTTCAATATCCCTGTTGCAGTAAATCAATAGTCAGGAATGTACCGAAGTTTAGTTGTAAAAAGTCTCTTTTCTCGTCAACAATCTTCTGTTCTTAACATGGAGCAATTGGATCCTCAGGAAAAAAAAAATAATGATTACAAGCTCTCTGCACCAGTTGGGCCAAATTTTCTGTTGTAATAGCTTTTTGAGATGTTTAGGTATGCTCAAGCAAGAGTAGTTTGTATTTGACATTATTGAACACACCCCTTCACCTTTCTAGGAATTTACTTTGGATAGTTTCAAAACCATGGCTGCATGCTCTGTTTGATCAGGTATTAGTTGTGTTTTTGGCTCTAAATGTGCTAGTGGTTACCTATAACAAGTTATTTAGAGGCGTTATAATCGCTGACAGTTGCGATTTTTCCCGGTAATGTTTTCAAATATGGTATAGGTAACTCGTGACATCATTGATGCCATTTGTAAATGGGTTGCTTTGAGGAGTTGAATTTTGCGTGAAATCCTGCAAAAGGGTATTCATTTTTGGATTTCAATTTTTCTCTTGCATCAGCACTCAAAACAAAGAAGCAAGGAAATGAAAATTTCAACTGCAACATTTATATACATACGAACACACACACATACACATATATATAATAATAATGGTTTGCAATTCCTTGCGTAAGCTTCAAATTTGTTTACATCCATATAGTAGTTTTCCCAAAACGAAAGTTAACAAAGCAAATCTTGTGTAGCCATGATTAGTCGCCCAAACTCAGTTGGCAATTTCTCACCATTTATATGATATGGTCAGGAATTATTCACACACGCACAGGCGACTGACTATAACACAATTCAACTATATAAATCGCTGTCGGACTCCAGACCGTACCAGATAATTTTTATAAGATAACAGGCAAAGCGCAAATCACCATCCATACAAAAGCTTGTAGGAGAATATACCAAAGCCCAAGTAGAACTAATAACTAGTGTTCACACCAAACTAACATCATATAGGATTTCCCATCCATGCAGGACCAGCTTTTATTTACCCAATTCCACCATCACCACCATCTTCTTGAGAAGAGCCATTGGGGTCATTGTAATGCTGTCTAGGTATGCTGTGGTGGTTGTCGATATTGTGGTTGTCTAAACTGCTTCCTGGGTACTTTCCAATACTCTTTTCCATGGGTTTTCCGCTTTCGACATGCCGGTGTGGCTGCTCTTTTTGTCCATACGTTCGTCCCAACATAGCCCTCCTTGGCACTGCTGCCAAGCAAGAGCTGGCCATGAACATCACAACCAAAAAGAATGCCACCACCTTCATTCAAAACTTGTTACTACTAGCTAAAGCAAAGGTTTTTGAATATAAACTTGTATACAACTTTGATTTTTGAGCAAAGGGTTTGTGGTAGTTTAGAGGTTCAATTTCGTCAGAAAAACCCAAGTGGAAATAGATGAAGAGTGATTGTGAGGTGGTTTTTTTTGGGGAGAGTATGCTGCTTTATATAGAGGAACTGAGGAATAAAAAATAGAGATATTTAGTCATATACCAATTCTTAACGCTAAAACTATAAATAAAACCTACACTGTTTAATTTTTATAAACAAAATCAAAAAATTGACAACTGGCCCTATTGAATTTAATTTTGATTATTAAAATTACTTTGATGCCCTATTGAGTGTTTTGAGCTTTTTTATGAGGTTTTTGAGTTGGGTTTGTTTTAAGAAATCAATGATAGTTTTGTAATTTAAAAGAACTTAAAATTTTTTTTGTTATGTTGTAAATAGGTTTTGGGTGTCTTTCTAAAGTTTATTTCATATAGGTTTTTTTATAATTTGGGTTCATATATTGGATATAATAGTGAATTTCCTTAAAAAATAACGATTTCGGTTGAAATTAAAATGAGTAATTAATTATGGGGTCACCACTAAATATGGGGCAAGATTGAGTGGGTTTCCATATAATTCACCAGCTTATAATTTTTTTTTTAAATTAATATAAGGCTCTGTTAATGATGGTTGAGAGCAACTTCTTGTCCACTCAGCTGCCTCAATAGGAAAATCCCACCTTTCAAGTGGGATTATATTATTTTATTCACCAACACAAATTAAGTCTATCCAGCATAATGTTTTTGCTGTTTGGGTCACTTTAAGATGTCAAATCATGAATATATATATTGCCATACAAAATTCAGAATTAGGCCATCTCTCTAGATGTTTCTTGCCAAGTCGTCAACTGGGATTACAGATTTTGTATTTTTTTATTTTATCTAATATTGTTGTTGCAAAAGAAAATATAATAAGAGAGTGAGAACTAGAATTACAACGAGGATACTGCTCGTCTCATTTTCAGTAAAGAGATATTCATTTTTTCTGCGAATCATAATTTGACACATATGTAAAAATAATTTATAAAAAACACAAAAAGAAAAACTTCGGCACACATATCACATTGTTATTGACAGGAATATAAGAGCTCCTACTTAAATAATAAGGAATGAAACCGTAATCATTAAGAGAAGAAAGATAAGTTAATTATTTTGAAAAGAATCTCTAACTGTTAGGCTGTAGATTTGTTCCTCCACTTTGTGAAAGTGGGATAAATTTTGAAATTCATTGCCATTGAAAATTTGATAATTGGATTGGTGACAGGTAATTTTCAGATTTTACTATAGCCTAGATCAAGTTGGGTTTGGGAAATAAAACCACTAATTTTCTTTTTCTTTGTGAACGGTTTTGGAAAACAAATACAAAAGCGACATGTGCCCCTCGTCCACTTTCAACGTCCTAATCCCATCCATAAATATCTCCATACTCAATTTGGAAGATATTAACCATTTCAACCTAGCCAGTCCTTGCAGGGCACACAACAAAGAAAGAAAAGGACTCAGGGAGAGCAACTAGGGTTGGTTCTGGTAGTTAAAGGATTTTGTCCAACTTCCATGAGATTTTGATTGCTTACACAATGGGCCACTTGAATGTGAAACTAGCCCAAAGATCTGATGATCCATTGCAGGGCAAATTTGGAAATGGATCTTTGGGCATAACCAAGTAATGTCAAGTAATTTAACCCACAACAAGGGTTCACTCCGTCCAAAATCCTGTGTTGGGTTGGGTTCTTCCCCTTTTCAATATTCAAAAGGGTAGTCACGATGACTAGTTTTTCTTCGGTGCAAGCTCGGACTGGTAGTGTGTGCGCTTAAAAGTGGCTAGTGTGCAGCGTATCAGGTTTAGGTGTTTGTGCTTGGACTGGCTAGTGCTAGTCCGAACTCAAACTACCACTCCGATAGAGCAATGTACTAATTCAAGGATGCGAAAATGTTTGCATTCACAACGAAGTAAAACCAGAAAATTACACGCCAACTTTAGCCTTTGCACTCTAAATTGGATGTTGGATGTGTTTTGCATTCACAGAATGGTGTGCAGGAAACTGAAATTGGATCATCATATATATATATATATATATATATATATATGATGATGATCCAGCTGTATTTCTACAACCTAGATAAGAAATCACATGTTTTGTGGATATAGAATTTGGACGGCCATATTTCTTCAAATTATGTGTTATTTGTCACATCCATTAAATTTACTTATCTGTTATGCATGCGTTCATGTTGTCAGATCATCGTGTTCCTCCCATGGCCATATAGAAACGGGTAGAGCTATCATGCACAGGTGGGACTCCAAATGCTTTCTAGTAACTACGAAAACAGTAAACCCTTGACAATGTTTTTTCTCTTTCGCAAAAGATGATAAGCAAAACCTTCACAATGATTGATATAATTGTATTTGAGACTTTATGAAATGGTATGTTTTTTTTTTTTTTTTCACTACTTGTATTAACGTTGTTATATTTGAGGTTTGATGTAATTGTTCAGTCCATTTATGTGTATTGAATTTTGTGTATTCGAGGTTTGTTCTAATGATTTGTGATTGTGTTAATTATGTGCGTGCAAGTAGGCGACTCTCAACCGTTGATGCATTATGAGCTCTATATGCATATAGTAACGAACACACATTATGTTATACATTTTGAGCCAATTTTTACTACAACAATAGGTGTGTGTGCAAGAAATGAATACAATGAAATTTGGCAGACTCAGTTACGTAATGTTTGAACAACATTAACTGAACATGTAAGCTATTATATATTGTCCCACCAACACCGCCAGAACCAGCTAAGCTAATGTTCCCAACAGCTCAACATTATCACTGTATATATGGAACCTCTTGAATATATAGGTTTGGTCAATTCTAGCTCAACATTCATTGAGGCTGACGTGCTATCCCAGTACAAATAAGTACTCTATAAAATAATGTAAAATGACAAAGAATACATAGCTTCTTCTCACTAGTGGAGAGATGGGTTTTATGTCTTGAGTGGGTGGATTCAGTTTCTTTTCTTAACTCTCTTTTACTCTTTTTATGTGTCATTTTTTTTCTTTTGTGGTCTAAGGAGAGCTGAAACCAAATTTGGGTGTAGAGACTTCATATGTACCATTTGATTGAGAGGTAATGTTATTGTTGAAAAGTCTTGTAAATTTTGAAGAGAAGCGCACTGTAAGTTCGTGTCTTTCTTCATGGATGACACATTACTTAAGGAGAAAGACAAATGAAAAAGATACACACCCGTTGTTTCCAAAATTAGGTGGGTGAAACGAGTGAAAATATCTAGTAAACACACAAAAAGGGAAAAGAAGAAGAAAAAAATAATCTGAGCATTGCTTCCCGAGAGGAAGCATGGGAAGGAATTAATTGAAGGGATGGGAGGAGGTAGTTGAAAGTGAAGTCGGAAATCGAAGTGGCAGGAGTGACAGCTAAGAAGAGCTGACGACTACACATGGAGGGAGATAGATTCCAATTCAAATCAAATCATTGCTGACCTGCCAAATATGAGTTAGGGTTACTTAAGGTGTCACCAACTTCTCAACCCTTCTCTCACTTCTCAACTTCTCACTCACCCGTGAGCCATATTGGCCCAACCTCATGTGCACCATTCCATGTCCCTTTGCTAAGCTCCCTCACCCTCATGACCCACCCTATAACAACCCACCATCTTAATATGCTTCCAAGATGTATGATCATGAGATTTGAATTAAGAGAACAAGTTTGTTCGTGAGATTTGAATTCACGACAATCTTTAAGAAAGTGAAAAATGAATGTCACTAAACTCAATGTTGGTTAACTTAATATCATTTGTAATGTCATCACAATGAAATATATGAATAAAATGGTTTCCTACTAAAAAGCACATGGCAATTTGTACAACGTAATATAACTTTCTCACATTACCTAAAGCTTGTACATGTTGATTTAAAAGTCCTCAACAAATGGAAGTTGATTTCTATCTTTACTTTTATTTTGATAGCTGGATCTTGAGAGTTGTCAAAGATATTAACTCTCTTCCAGTCCCTCTCCATGTCTGCAGCAGAACTGTTGGTAGTTTTTAGTCAAAAATGATTGGACAGAGTGAGGAACTATGCCTTTCAACCAACCTAGCACAGCCAACTTTGTCTCTAGGGGATGAATCGGTGTGCTGGCTCCTCTCTCTCTCTCAGCAAATAAACTTCAAACATCTGAACCCACTCAGAATCACAACCACAGGATCCACAACAAACAGCACCGTTTCACTATTCGCTTGCTTTTTCAAATTTATATTTTATGAAATGGCTTGATTTGACTGAAGTGGTCTCTTAGCTGCCTGTATGTAACTCCAAAATAACTAGCCAGAGGATACTATGAAAATCACATTTATGGGTACCTAGAAAGTGTCTGGCTAATCTTTAAGCCTAAACTTGTATCTCCATGCAAGATGGTAATATTTATTTATCAACAAAGTGGTAGGACCTAATTTGAGGACTTCTATAGTTTTTATGGTAAGTTTTTCTTGCCAAACTTATGTTGTCAAAGAGATGCTTAAACTATTAAGAACTAACATGATTAATTGTTCATTTTCACAGTCTAACAATAGAGCATTTCCCTCCCTCGACTTAGGTCATCGTTAAAATACCATTATTTATGCATAAATATTGATCATCTATGCGCTTATTTCTTAGAGAAACCTTAAAACGGATCCCATTTTGGTTGGCGAGGAAATGGAGAATGTTACAACAATCGAGAATTGAATTTTCTTTCTATAAGATTATAAAATGTGAGTCCCATTTTATGCTCTGCAACCCAGGATACATCCATCCATCCCTTCTGCTACGCATAGCCCATCTCCTGCTTAGAAAGTAAGACTGCAAAGATACTCAAAAACTTATCCAAAATCTAAACTGCAAAGATACTCACAGGATATTAAGACTGCAGAGCAACAATGTTGTACGTACGGATAGTACATGGTGCAAGAAGTGATAAAAAAGCAACAAATTAGTGCTGCTGATCCTGATCAAATCTTGAATGCAGCTAAGTGGGGAAATAATTATAAAAAAAGAGAAAAGCAATTGCCTTAGCTCATATCCCATATATCTTACACCAAATGTGATCTACATATCCCATATATCTTACCCCAAATGTGATCTACAGCAGAGCAGGAATATCAGAAACTTTTGACTTGTAATTGGCTTTCTCATTAGCCGATCATCATCTTCAACTCAGACACTAAGCAAAACAATAGGTAAAATAATATCTACAGCTAAAAGAATGTTGCTTGCACTTGATGATGTACACAAAAGGCACACAATCTAATCTCTCTGCACTACTGGTTTTTTATGGAGCTGTTTTCTTTTTCTTTCTTTTTTTTTGGCAGATTCATATATTAAATTCAGCAAAAAATCATGGCATTACAAATAAGTGGGATCGCACACACTTTGTCCAAGAAGCTTATCCCATCCTTAGTTTCATATCTTATCTTTTCCACTCCCAACCTGTGGGGTCTTTAACTTCGAGAACTTCGAAAAATCACTCATCAAGCACCATGCTTTCTTAAGAGAAAGAGAAGAAAAAAAAGACTGCTCACAGTGTGGCATGTTTATTTATGTATGAGTTTATAATCTTTGAGATGCATGTTCGTACAATTTCGTATCAAGATGCATTTATATTAAAGGAGTGAAGGGTACAGCACGGTAGAGCAAAGTTATATAATTTGATCACATTTAAAAAGAAAAAAAGAAATATCATCTCTCTCAGCTTCCCTCTCTTAGCTAGCCTATCATGTCAACCATTTAATGCTCCAAAATAGTGCCTCCTCTTCCACACCTATATATACCTTTCACCTTCGTACAAAATAAACCAACCCATCTATTTCAACTCTCTCTCTCTCTCTCTCTCTCTCTCTCTCTCTCTCTCTCTCTCTGTATGCATATAAACATGATGAAGGGGAAGTTTGTAAGGGTGTGTGCAAACAAGTGGAGGAAGATAGGAAGTAGAGGGAGCTTACCTTCTTCTACATGCTGTGAGAATTGCTGTCAATGGGCTTTGTGGTCTTCCATGCATGAAGAAAACTCAATCCCAAAAGATGTCCCAAAGGGTCACTTAGTAGTCTATGTGGGTGAGAACCAGAAGAGGTTTGTGATCAAAGTCACCTTACTTAATCACCCTCTCTTTAGGGCATTGCTCGATCAAGCTCGAGAAGAATACGATTTCCATGCTGATTCGAAACTCTATATCCCGTGCGACGAGAGTCTTTTCCTCGATGTTGTTCGATGCTCTAGCTCTCCGGTTGATCGAAAGTTTCCTCTGTGTCTTTGAGAATTCAGTTCGGTACTAACAGACAACACTGAGGTATTTAATTGATTCATGAGGTCTGTGCTCCAATAATAATGCAAATCAGCAGATATGCAGCCTTATTATTGTACAATATGTAGAGTTGTAAAACATTTAATATGTTCTAGGTCACCAATGTAATTCAGTTCAAGAATAGTAAATTCTGTTCTGCTTACTTGCTCAGGACTTGTGCTGTTTTTTTATAAGCATGGTGCATATGAAAACAAACATAAATGAAGTGGTCCAAACTAAGTACACCAGAGCTAAAATTTGATGCACACCGGATCTCAGAAGGACCAGAACCAACCAGTCAACTAACTGAGACCAACTTGTCACAGTTTTTAAGTGGGCCAAAATTTTCAGTTGCTCATGCAATGCAAGAGCACTCAGAAACTAGATGCATATTTGTGAGTGAGCGCTCAGTTTACATTTTGGCCATTGGCAAAGCGGTTGACTGGTTGCTGGTTGCATTTATTTAACCCAAAAAGACCAAAAAAGAAAAGAGAAAAAAAAAAAGAAAAGAGATGGAGGTTCTGATGTCTGAATTAAATGGAATCCAACTAATTACTGGCTATATTTGAAACCATAATCATGGGTATGAGGACTTTTTAGTGATTTAGTAATTTAAAATTGCAGCATATGAACATCATATATTTGAGATTTTATGTCATTGACTTCCTACCCTCTATCAGCAGTGTTCCAGATCCCCTTCTTCCTCTTTTATTCATTGTTCCGTTAGTTATTCCATGTGGCAGCATTGGATTTGATAATATTATTTTAACTAAGATATTAAAATAAGTCATTTCATGTTCCATATTAGTTGGTGCCTAAAATTTGAGTATTATTATTATCTTTTGAAGTAAATAAATATATATAGTCAGTTCTTTGTTAACAGTGTGGGATCTGCAGATCCAGTGAACAGCTAAGTCATTGCCTTTTATTTTCCAGGTTTCAAGCCAAAGTTGCAAAAGACCTTCCAAGACCTGCTTTCTTCCCATAAAATTCCAAAGAGGAAGGCTACCAATTAAAGGTACTGGACATGGCTCAGATGACTTAAAAATATTGAAAACTGATTACTTCTCAAAGGCCCTTTTAGCATACCATCCAAGCATAAACTCTATCAATTCAACAGGATGTTGGAAGTCAATTTCAAAGCTATAATGAATCAGATTCTATGCTAGTTTGACGAGACAGGGCATGCTATGAACCAATCAAATAAAGGACTGGATTAAAACCACTAATCTTTCTTGATCCAGTCTCAGTGGATAAATACCTATGTCATTAATGGATTGTTCATCAGTCATCACCGCAAGGGAATAGCTTGGCAGCAGCAGCTAGGTGGCTTCAGTCAAGTACTTAATGGGTGCCTCATTAAGCGAAGCACGGCAAAGCCTATCCATTAGGCTCTTACAAGATAAAGCCTATCCATCTTCTACAATCTCATCATGAAATTATACAAGTTGCCTCACTGCACAAAATGAATATAGACCGTATAACGAAAGCTCTTGATAGCTCAATGCATATTTCATATGACCCTAGACTCATTTATATACATAAAACACCTCAAGAATGCACAATTATGTACTCTCACAAAGGTTATCTACTTTTCTCATCTCATCGCATTTAGCTTACTGTAACATGAACACTAATACATACCTATACGGTGGCCCGTAAAGTAAATTAAGGTGCATTCACAAATCCTGTACAATGTTTACAACCAAAATGAAAACAGAACAGTATCCTTCAAAAAGAAATTCCTCTATAACAAAAACGACCGAAAAAATGAAGGCTGAATGCTGTAACAATCTAAGTAACTCTTACAATGACGATTCTGAATTGCTTTCATTATCATCAACAAAAGGAGAATGCAATACAGGGAATTAAAACAATGATTGCAATGTCATTTACACATGAAGGATTCTTGTGCAAGGTAATACACAAGTAGTATACTGCTCTCTGATACATTACATACAACAACATTGTCTGGCGACTACACTAAACAATAGCAGTGCTGAATATCAGGGAATCCAAAGCAGGAACACACAAAGCACTGAAAGATTACCAGGAATGTAGTGTTACAACTGAAGCCTGCAAGAGAAACTGCCAGCCATTTACTGCCAAGTATCATCTAAGGCCGTCAATCTAGCGCTCCGATCCTATCCCCCTGAGAACTAGCATCCCTACACCTCGCCCTCGCTGCAAAGTAAAATATCAGCCAAGCCACCATAAAGTAGACTTCCACAGTTGCCTGAAAAAGCCTGGCAAACGATTTTCCACAAATTCGAGCTACAATCCATCTTACAGATGACCCACAAAATATAGCTTCCAAACACTTAATCTGGATAGCTTGGTGCAACATTGACAGCATCAAATAACACCCTTCCTTGACAATCTCCCTTCCATTCTTCCTCGAATCCACTATGGCAACCCAAGCATCGACAGCGAATACGAATGCCACCAATGTATCCAACACGAACCACATTAACAGAAACCCAGAAATCTCCTTCTCATAACCTCGAATCCACGGAGGCATAACCGAAAAAGGCATCAACTTTAACCTGATGAAAAGTTTAAAAAACGAGTACTGGTCCTCAATTTCCCCGAAATACCACAAGCCAAGAAGCTGAGTGAGAGCATCTCTCACCGCCCACCTCATGAGAATGAACCCAGAGAGCCTCTTGACGCCCAGTCTAGACCCATCCCAAACCAGACCAACAAACGAAGTAATCCTCCCGATCAGATCATTCACAACTGTGGTAAACACAACGCCAAGAACCCATGAATACGTAATAAGAAACCCAAGAATTACCCAACCGTAAGCTGCAGATAAGAAACTCACAAGAAAGAACAACGTCGCCACATCTCGGCGACCCAGCTCCAATCCCTTGATGAAGAATTGCAAATCGACGACCCGATCATCCAATTCCTCATCACCGCCTTTCTCCTCTCCTTCACTGCTATTGCCTTCCCTATCTCCCTCTCCAGCTCTGTCATCGGAAATGGTGAATTTCTCGGCTTTGAACGTGAGACCGGAGCGGACAATTTCAGAAACCCTAGTTCCGTAAGTTCCATTAAACCCTAATTTGGAGGTGGAGTGAGAGGCGGAGGAGAAAATGAGGATAGGGGCGATGCGATTGGGGCCGAATTGGGAGCGAGTGTCGTCGTCGTCACCGGAGAAGAAGTCGTCGTCTAGGGTTCCGACTCGGGTGAGGTGGAGAAATGGACGGTGGCGGCGGCGGAGGGTGACCGGAGAAGGGGAATCCGCCGGAGATTGG